AATTTATCCGGTGATGGCAACCCATAGCAATTTGTATAATTAATAATAAATATAAGAGTATTTAAAATAGTTGAAATGATAAAGTATGACAAGATCTTCTTTCTGAAAGTATATGTACTATGGGTTTAATACTATTAATCTGGTAATGACTATAAATAGTTTTCCATTTTTTAGCTGATAATGAATATATAGTCAGAAAAGCTTTCTCGCAAATTTTACTATTATTAAAAGTATATTTAATGGTTAAATATTATGTTTCTTTACCACAGGCTATTATATGAAGCATTTCTAAAATAAATATTTTATATTTAGTTTTTGATAATTTTCGAATATTATCGAATGTTTGAAATGCAAATTCATGATCAATTTTGGATAAACATTTTTTGGTTTTACAACAAACTAATGTACGAAGTTTTAAAAAAAAAGCCCCCTTCTCTGGCTGATCTAGAAGAGTCGTTAATGGTTCATTAACTTTGGGCTTTTCATTATTTTCTTTAATAGAATATTGAGCAAATATTCTTTGAAAAGTTTTGATTTGTAATGGCGTAATGATTTGATTATCAAATTGTTAAATTTTTTCATTATCTTTCATCTTTTTATTATCTTGTATATCACTAAGTTCTACATTTTCAGAAGGTAATTCTTCTGTCTCTAATTTTTCTTTAAATTTTAATTCATAATCGTTACTTGTTTGATAGGATGTTTTAAGTTGGTTAAATTCTTTTGCTAACAAATATATTTTTAAATGTGTTTCTAAAAAAATCGAAGAAACTAATATATATGTCAAATCTATTTTTTTTTTTTTTGATAAAATCAAACACAGAATCAAACAAAATGTATAGTTTTAACTACAACTAATTAGAAAATTATCAGGCAAGGGTGACATTAAATTTCCGTATATTACACTGCCATTTCATTTATACAAACCATGCATAAAATGCTTGATTATGTATCAAAGTATCATAACTAAGATTTTTCTTTGTTTTTAACAATGGGTCTTCCAAAAATATATGACTCTAGGTCAAAACACAACCAATTCAGCTAACTGTAATAACAATTTAAGTAATTATAAGTCAATACGTAAAAGTAATTGTCACTGCTATTGTTAATGTTCTAGATAAAAAATTACTATGTATTAAACATGATCCCTCAAGTCTATTTATAAAAATATGATAAGCTTACATCAGGTTATTTCTTTATTCCTCTATGAAGTACTGTACATAGTAACAAATGCCTACATGCATAAATAGATAAAACTCTGTTATAACATATTTACTAATAAAACATAAGATTTCGTTGTATAGATAACTAATAAGGACTATACATAAAGAAATACGTATAAGTATTGCAGATATATACAATTCGAGAATAAACAGATAGAAATTAGGATATTTATAATTAATTATAATACGTATTTATATTTTAAAATTTACTAATTCTAATTATATACAATATATTCTATCATAATTACCTATCTAAGCTTTCAACAATGAACTAATACTTTATTTTTATTTTTCTTAATTCCAATTCTATATTTATAATATAACCAAGCCAGAATATTCTGACCGGATTATTATAATTATAATTTTCAGTCAATGAATGCGTTCTATTTCTAATTTCATGTTCATAACAATAGCCAAGCCAGATATTTTACTCACTATTTATTTCTGCAGAATTTCAATGATTAATGATAAATTCTTAATTTAATAATAATGACTAAGCAAAAATATTATTACACAGTCCATTCATACCTGCACATTTTTGATAATAAATAGATGTACTATTTCATCCCTCTTAATTTCATTCATAATAAGAATGAAGCCAGAATATTTCTATTAGAAGCTACCCAAGCTTAAACTAATTAAGCATAACGAATATCAGAAAATGTAACTAAAAATGTATCATACCTATTGTTGGCTGTATTCAACTCAACCTGCTCATAATATAATAGAAAAAAAAGGTATTTTTAGATTTTAAATAAAAAATTTACTTAATCTAAAACACTACTAATCTTAAATAAAGCCAAAATACTTACTTAGCGGATAATAAATTGAAGAAAAAAGATATTTATCAAAAAAAATTAGGTTCTTAAGTTATATATCTGATACGTATTACTGCATTTGTACGATTTTGATTGGTTTATCAATCTGCCCGATAAATTCTAAAACGATCTTGTGATTTACATCAATTTACACAATTTATATCGGAAATATTTATCCAATCAAAATAGCTTTTTACACTGTTTTTCCTCTAGCATAGAATTTTATTAAGATAATAGTACTTCTTTTTTAAGCAAAAATGTTCCTAACTTGATTTTAAATTAGTTAAGCTCAAAAAAATTTTTTGAAAAATTTTTAATTTGGTCCCTTTTCTCAGCACCTAGTCTATATATAGTATAATATATTCTACTATATATTAAGTATTAAAAATAGAGATTGTCTAAAGTGGTAGCAATTTTATGTAATTATAGCCAATCAAATTATAGAATTTTGATGATTATTGATAAAACAAAGCAAGAAACAAAAATAAAAAACTCCAAAAATAGAAAAAATAGTATTCTAAACCTATTTCAGATAAATTAAGTAAAAATCTTAGAAGGGCAATTTTGCTTATATATAACAATCTAAAACCTAATCTAATTTTAATATAAGATAACTCTAACCCTAAAGTTAATTGAATATAAGGTCATGTAAATTTGCTTTTGCTTTAGACATCTTTTAAAAATAGTAATTTTTGTGTAATATAGTGAAAATAGCAAAATACTATATAAAAATAGTAATCTTCTTATTTAATTTATTTATTGTTATACTTTTTTTTTGTAGTATTAGTAGCTTTACTGGTATCTTTATTAGATCAAAATTAATATAAAACATTATTTACTATCTAAGTTACAAATCTGATATCACTCAGCTTCCTCTGTAGAAGTTTAAATATAGTCTGCTTTACCGGTTAAGGCTATTGCCCATTCTGGAGGCTATACCAAGCTAGCTAGCAAACCTATAATGAAATGGTTTCAAATCAAAAGAATTTTTAACTATATCAAATTGGCAAATTTCTTTTTTTATACTATTTTTAAAACAATAATCTAAATCTAATTTTTTCTTAACAAGTAATTTTATTTTATCTCTCAATAAGGGGAAATTGCCAGAATTCTTTCATTTATATTTACATTTCCTCCTTTACTTCTTCTAGTTTATTCTATCTCTTCCAATGAACGACCCAGCTCTTAAAAGTCTTCTTGTCTTTTTTTTAATAGTCTTTTCTTCTTGCTTTACGATGCCAAGGTATTCTTCTACTTTTTGCAAGCTTCTTCTACTAAGCTTTTCTAGATATATTTTTTTGTAAACCTTCTTTTCTTCAAAATGTTTTGGGTTTTCCTTTGGTCTTTTCACTTTTGAGTCATAGATAGTCTGCCTAGACTCTTTTCCTATTGTGGACTAGATTTGTAAATATTCTTTTTTCTTCTTCTTTACCTTTCTCTTTTTTTGTTTCCTTCTAGACTTTGGTTTTTTTTTCAAAAATTTCTCTTGAATTTTGCTCCAAATACTCTGATTTTCAAAGATTTTTATAAAGATCTTCTCTAGTATCTTGAATAACATATCTTTTTTCTTCTTTTTCTAATTCTTGGCTCCTTTTTGTCTATATATTAGAGTATCTTGAATCTATTTCACATCAGAGTTTCCTTGGGCTTTTAAAACTTATATCTATTTTATAAGCAAATCTTTCTTTTTCT